CTTTTGACAAAATACACATCCCTTTGATGGAGGAAGGTCGTTGGTTAATTAATAAAGAAACTGCTTGGCCTGATAGGTTAGAACATAGGTGGGTGGAGTAGACAGAACAGAATGCTGGGAGGAAGAGGAAGTGAGGCAGATGCGTTGAAGCTCTGACCCAAGATGGACGTAGGCTAGAATGTTCTTGGTAAGTCATTACCTCGTGGTGCTACACACATTAATAAAAATGGGCCAAGCAGTGTTTATATGAATACAGTTTGTGTGTTGTTATTTTGGGGCATAAGCTAGCTAGGCAGGAACTGGGTGGCAGGAATGCAGCCCACAGCTCTTACTACAAAATGGAGCCCAACTGAATCCACAGAAAGCCTGAGAAAGCTTGGGAAATAATAGAGTAAAGCATGTTTTCTTGGTAGCAGCAATTTCTTGGGTCTGCTCTGCTTGCTAGAGGCAAGCAAGTGCTCTCATCTAAGAGAGGCTTCTTGACTCAGCTTCAGCTGCAAAACCCTGCAGCTCTTAAGAGGTCCTGCCATAAAAAACACTTAAATGGTGTTGATAAAAGCTGACTGAATGCATGTTTGTTTTCAGCTGTAGCAGGAAAAAAAGTTGTGCTGTTTTAAAATGCCGGCTTTCTGTGCCGTACTGCCAGGGCAAACTCTGATTCTTTGAGGCAGGAGGGCTGGATACAGAGAGAGGACTTGAGTGTTGTCTGTGGACATACTGTTGCAGCTTGCTTGCTGGCAGGGACCTTGAAACACCATAGAGTTGTGGCAATAAAAATGGCTACAGCTGGTACCTCCGCCACAAGGCTGGAAAGCTAAGGAATGGGCTAGATCCAGCCAGCAAAGCCACGGCTTTAATCCTACCCATATTGCTCAGTAACAGACAGGAGGACCAATGGAACCAAATAGAAGATCTGGATATCAATCAACATATCTTCAAACACCTGATTTTTGGACAAAGAAGCAAAAAATATCAAATGGAAAGAAGAAAGCATATTTAACCAGTGGTGCTGGCATAACTGGATATTAACATGTAGAAGAATGAAAATAGACCCATGTCTATCACCATGCAAAAAAACTCAAGTCCAAATGGATCAAAGACCTCAACATAAAGCCAGCCACACTAAACCTCATAGAAGAGAAAGTGGGAAATACACTTGAACATGTTGGCACAGGAGACCACTTCCTAAATATAACCCCAGAAGCACAGACGCTGAGAGCAATAATTAATAAATGGGGCCTCCTGAAACTGAAAAGCTTCTGTAAAGCAAAGGACATGGTCAACAAGACAAAATGACAGCCTACAGAATGGGAAAAGATCTTCACTAACCCTACATCAGACAGAGTCTGATCTCCAAAATATACAAAGAACTCAAGAAATTGGTTACCAAAAGAACACATAATCCAATAAAACATGGACTACAGACCTAAACAGAGAACTCTCAAAAGAGGAATCTAAAATGGCTGAAAGACACTTAAGGAAATGTTCAACATCCTTAACCATCAGAGAAATACAAATCAAAACAACTCTGAGATTCCATCTTACACCTGTAAGAATGGCCAAGATCGGGGCTGGAGAGATGGCTCAGAGGTTAAGAGCATTGCCTGCTCTTTCAAAGGTCCTGAGTTCAATTCCCAGCAACCACATGGTGGCTCACAACCATCTGTAATGGAATCTGGTGCCCTCTTCTGGCCTGTAGCATACACACAGACAGAATATTGTATACATAATAAATAAATAAATATTAAAAAAAAAGAATGGCCAAGATCAAAAACACTTATGACAACTTATGCTGGAGAGGTTGTGGGGAAAGGGGAACACTCTACATTGCTGGTGGAAATGCAAGCTGGTACAGCCTCTTTGGATGTTAGTGTGGTGATTTCTCAGAAAATTAGGAAACAACCTTCCTCAAGACCCAGTAATACCACTTTTGTATATATATCCAGTGGATGCTCAATCATGCCACAAGGACATGTGCTCAACTATGTTCATAGCAGCTTTGTCATAGCCAGATCCTGGAAATAACCTAAATGCCCTTCAACCAAAGAATGGATAAGGAAAATGTGGTACATTTACACAATGGAGTACCACACAGCAGAAAAAAATAACATCTTGAATTTTGCAGGAAAATGAATGGAGCTAGAAAACATTATTTTGAGTGAGGTAACCCAGACACAGAAAGAAAATTAACACATGTCTCGTAGGTGGTTTTTAAACAGAAATCAAAGAAAACCAGCCTACAAACCACAATCCCAGAGAACTTAGACAACAATGAGGACACTAAGAGAGACTTACATAGATCTAATCTACATGGGAAGTAGAAAAAGACAAGATTTCCTGAGTAAATTGGGAGCATGGGGACCTTGGGGGAGAGTTGAAGGGAGGAGTGGAGAGGCAGGGAGGGGAGCAGAGTAAAATGTAGAGCTCAATAAAGATCAATAAAAAAATAAAAATTACTGTTCTGGCTGCTCCTGTGGAAAGGAATACAGATAACTTTGTCTCCAGCTGTTCACGACCTGGAGTGCTGTACATTTCTAACATAGCCTTCAACACATAATTTGTAGCACTTACGAAGAATAAAAATGTGCTCAATATGTAATGCCTACATTTCAAACTTTTTAATACTGTAAAGTAAAAGAAATCAGTTATCTGATGTAAAAATTGTGTAGGCAATAGAAATAAGTAGTCTGATCTTAAAACTGTGTGGGTGACTCAAAACAAATCTTTTATAAAGAGTAAAAGTTGTTTTGCTGAAGGATGACTTATTCTATACGGACTAATTTTTTCCTTCTTAAAACTGTGTGCATATTGGTGGTAATTTTGTCTTATTTTAACTTTCCAATTAATAAAAAAACATTTTATAGACTTCAAAAAAAGACATCACAATTTGAAGAATACATCGTGATTATTATGAAAGCCTCCATCGCTTCCCTTTGTGCTTCCCCAAATACACCTTCCCACCCCTGCATAATTATTCTAGACGTAGAGATCCGCATCTCTGTAGGCTTAATATCGAGCCAGACACACTCTGCTCTCACAGCACTGTGTCAGCTGGCAGCTACTTGTAGTTATAAAGTTAAAAGTCATAGACATGGGCATGATGCTTTAAGGACAACAATATTCAAACTCACACAATTTTTTCATATCCTCAAGACATCTTTTTATACGGTTCCCTTTTCTACAAGAAGGTCCCATGTCTCAATCTCTCTTAAAAGGCAGACTTTGGTAAGGCCCTCTTTCCCCATCTCACTACACCACACTTCTTCCATCAACAACAGCTCCTGTGTGTGGCAAAGATGGATCTCTCCATCCAACATTTTGTACTGTGTTCTTTCCTCTTGGAGCATTCCAGATCCTACCAACGATTCTAGGGTTGGTGCCCGGGGAACTTACTCTCAACAGCTGGCACTCTGTGTGCTCCTGAGGCCTCTTCCCTAGTCTGTGTCCGCATGCCTTGCTCTCCTTTCCAGAACTGTGAGACACGGTTAGTGTTCCAAGTGTTGCTTTCTCATACATACCTATCTCTACCAAGTCAGAAAAGTTCCCAGGATGAGGAATTATAGTTAGCAATTCCAGATAAGAAATTTGAGAAGCATTATCCCTCTGTTAAAACTTAGGGGAAAATCTTTGAAAAAGAACAGAATTTTCAGGGAAAATTACAAAATTACAGCGGTTGCATATGTGACTGACAAAGCTGAAAACTGCACAAAGAATCGCCAATATAATGAGAGGGAAAAGAGTCTGCAAGCTGCATGAGTTTCGCAGATTCCTATGCTGTCCCAAGGACCACTGGTCCTTGCCAAGTGAGTGTCTGTTTCCACAGGTGCCTTGCCTGAAGAAACCAGACAGGTCGTCATATCTGATCTGAGACTAGGCTGCATAGCTCCCAGCAATCCACCCTCAGTGTGGGTGCCACACTCTGGTGGCGGGCAGAGGGGTGAGCTTTTGCTCTTTTGCCCAGCTTGCCTCTGTGCCTCACTGGTGAGTTTACATGATTCTCAAGCCATCTCCCCTGCTGCTGCCTCTGCTGCTGTTGTTGCTGCCACACTTTACAACTTGGTCCAACTTCCAATGTGGACTAAAGACCAGTGACTCTTCCCGAATTCCAGGGCTTCAGTATTAGGGTTCCTTAGGGGAACGGAACTAAGGGGTATATATATGAGCCTGTGGAGGTCATTCTCATTCAAATCACCACACCTTCGGTGACAGACCGGACCTTCTGTTGTTGGACTACCTAGGCACAACCGTGTTCCTCATCTAATTTGAGAAGTTTATAGATGATAGTGTTATATTTGCATAAACACGTTGTTGGTCAGTCTAGCCTAAAGGGCTGTGCTAGTCAAGAGGTGGTTTCCTTCCATAAAGAAGAGGTGGAGTCATTCAATGGTGTTCACGCCCAGCTTAGCAAACCTCTGGGAGGCACACAATGAAAACTTCTCAGTTTCGACTTCTTGCCCCTGCTTGTAGTGGGGATGAACTTTTCCCTTCGCCCCTCACATCTCTGAAATTCTATTTTGTATAACCTGGAATTCAAGGAAGACCCCTTTGAGAGTTTTCCACTCCCATGTGTCCCCACCATGTGTACCATGTGAATATACATGCCTATAACTTTCTATTTTTCTTTTGTAAATCTTTTTTCCCTCCAGCTAAGAATTTTCGGGGGTTGGGGAAGCCTATCCAAATGGATGGCGGGGAGATGACATGCACACGTGACATTCAGGAGGAAGGGTATTTTAAGAGGATGCCTACCTTAACTGGGGAAGAAACTTCCCTGCTCAAATGGTCTGACCAAAGGTGTCGAATTGCCAGAGAGAGCTGAGCTCAGGCCAATGAGAAGAGACGGGGAGGCATGGTCTCCACCCCTCTTCCCTTCGCCTTCTGCCTGTTCAGACTCCTGTTTCTGGAGGACTGGTAAGCGCTGAAGCCCAGAGCTTCACTCTCCCACATCCTGTCCTGATCGCTAGGGGGCAGGCTTACCCCAGCTTCCCGGAAGTCCGGGCCCAGAGGATATTGCGCGCGAAATCCGACGCCCAAAGTAGGTGCGATCCCCCACCCCCGCGCTGCCCCCGCTGTGCACGAAAGGGGCCTGTTTGGCTATCCTGTGCTATTGATTGCTACCGCTCTTGGGTCTGGAAGTCCTGAGTGTAATCACACAGGCTTCGCGGGCCCCGAAAACCCGGACGGGCTCTCACTCGGCCTTGATTGGGAGCACTGCACTGGTCAGATCGCTATGCAAATTGAGCCCCCCTCCCACCCGCACTGCTTTGTGTTTCTGCTGGGCTCTGGCTGGGCCCTCCCAAGCCCAAACCCGGGCTCTCTCGGCAGTGCCCTTCCTCCGACCTGGGCTGTTGTGGAGCAGAAGGTTTGCTCCTTCTATGTCCTGCCACCTTGGTGAGCTCCCCCCCCCCCCCCCCCGAGATTTACAAAGCAAAATTAAACTGCGGAAAAGTTTCTGGGTTCCCATCTACATCAGCTATCTCTTCTACCAAGTAAGACTTGGCCCTTAAGACAGAGAAATCAGAGAGCATTTGTGATAGAGTGACTCATATTTTAGACATTTGGCCGCCAGCCACAATTTAGTGTGAATGCTTTAGCGCCTCAGATCCTCACTGTTGCGCTTTGAGGTGAATGTTGGACCCACTAGAGCACGAATAAGGGACGCTTAGGAAGCTCCTATGTTGTTGGCAGCTAGGAGAGCCCCCTCTGGGGCCCTTGTCTTCTTTGTGAATGGAACTGGGACCCCTTCTCTCCCCTCCTACTGGTTCCCACCACCATCAGCTCCAGCTCACCTGTCACACAAGATGTGAGCTGCTTGGGAAATAGCCTGGTGTTTTGAAATTGGGGTGAGCTGGTGTCCGGAAAGATCGTTGGTGATCCCGAGGTTGCAGAATGAGAAACAAATGCAGAAATGCAGGAAGCTAAAGCAACAAGTAGATTAAAGTTATTTTTATGTAGCAAGCATGGTGTGGTCTTCATAGGTCCTCAGCAGATTTCTTTGTTGAAACGTTTAACTTGAAAGGGACAAGGGGGGTGAGCACACAAACTTGCAAGAAGAGGGAAATATCAGTGTGGAGATGGCTTTAGTTCCAGCTACTAGGGAGGCTGAGAAAGGAGGACCACTTGAGCCCAAGAGTTCAAGGCCAGCGTTGGGCAGCCTGGAGGGGTTGGTGGAGAAGGCTGGGCACATTTTACATTGTCTGCCAGTTAGAGAATCTGAGTAGTTTACAAGGCACAATTTGTACCTTTTCCTCTGGAGGGGATTGCCTGGCTCTTTTGTAGCAAAGCAAACAAGGAGCTACCACAACAGGTGTTAGGATATGTTGATGCCGTTTTTGTTTTTTCAATTGTAAATTATGAGGTTACCTAGGGAAGAGGTGTTTTTTAGTCTACCTGACAAAATAGGCATAGGCAAGACGTGACTTAAGCCATCCCCCATCTAAAAAACAGAATGTTAGTAAAGTTTTTTTAAACCTTTTTTTTTTTTTTTAGTTTGTGTTTGGAAAGCTGTTTGGAAAATAAACGTGGATGACTTTAAGATTGAAATGATCACTAAAACTCCCTCCCGATACTGCTGTGTAAATAGTGTCTTTATTTTTACGCCTTCACACTTGTGAGAAATGTTTTATGTTGGGACTGGACCCCGACAGCTGGGTGACCATGCCTGGCTGTAAAGTGCCCAGTAAGTCAAATGCTTTGCTTGCCCTGTAGCCAATGAGGACCTGAGTTTTATTCCCAGAACCCACATTAAAATAGCCAGATGTGAACCCTCATAATTCCAGAGCTGGGGAGATGAGACAGGCAGGTCCTGGACCCTACTGGTTAGCCAGTCTAACCCACTTTGCAAACACGAGGCCCTAGGGAGAGCTCCTACCTCTAAAAACATGGTGGATAGCTCACAAACAGACAAACATACAAGGACGAGCAGAAGCCCTTCAGCAGGCCTGAGCGTTTGCGTTTTGACAGATGTTCCCTCTTCCTCAGACACTGACTGAACATCCAGGCTCAGCCTCTTCTCAGGACATGGACAATGCCTATGGTGATTCTCTGCCAGGAGAGTGCCTCAGAAAGCCAGACAGGAAGCAGCTCAAGCTCTATGGAGTGGGGGACCCCGTGGCCATGTTCTCCTCTGATAGCTCCTGCCTGTCCTCTAGAGGAAGAGTCAGCAAATGGTTCTGGGACTCAGCTGAGGAGGGCTACAGAACCTACCATATGGACGAGTATGATGAAGACAAGAACCCCAGTGTGAGTGAAGACCCCTCCCAGCTGGGAGCCAAGAGCAAACTAACTGCAGGGCAGCCAGCACCCAGCTTGCTCCTGTCAGGTTGGAGCCATGATCCTCTGGCTGCAGGAGAGCTGGTAATGTCTGCTCTGTAGACAGCTCATCTCTGAGATGGGCTGGTAATGTCTGCTCTGTAGACAGGTCATCTCTGAGATGGGCTGGTAATGTCTGCTCTGTAGAAGAGTCAACATTAAGTGAGACCAGGAGTGTGAAATTCACAGTGCTTATCATATTATACACTGGATAAACACAGCTGCTATTATTATTAATATCATCTACCATGATTACCATAATCTATTATATACAATAATTTGGTAAAGAGCTACACAATAACCCTTATTAATAGTTTTGATCTGTTGAACATCCACCAGGTATCAGCGACTGTTCTAGGTACTGGTGTCATAGCAGTGAGCAAAACTCACTATGTATTTATATTTTAGTTGAGACAGACAGATCAGAACTACATATACCATTTACTGATAGGCACTGCAAAGCAAATGAAGAAAGGGGAAGGTGGACAGAGGATGATGGCCCGCTGAGAAGTGTGGCTGTTTGACATAGGGTGTCATAGAAGGCGACTTTTAATCAGGTGACTTTAGAACAGAGGCGTAACAAAAGTGAGGCTGTGTTAACTATCCAGTGCTGTAACAAATCACCCCAAGTCGCAGCAGCTGACAAAGCAAACACTTCCCAGTTGCTGGACTCCTGGTGGGCGTGTCCGGCTCGGGTTTCTGTCACTGGACCCTGAAGCTACCCTGTGCATCTGAAAGTTTGACTGCATGGTGGGGCTTGGACAGGTGAGAGGCTCCGTCTCCAAACTCACTTCTGTGGCTCCTTGGTGGGCACCTGTTTCTCTCCACGTGGACTGCCTCAGGTATGGCAGCTGACTCCCTTCAGGGCAGATGTCTCAAGACAGAATGAGAGACTGTGAGTACCCAACATTGGAGCCACTCACTTTTGTGACCTAGCCTTAGAGGTGACATCCCAGCATTTCTGCATGTTCTCCTCATCAGGAGCAGGTGGCAGATTCAGTCTCTGCGCAGGGTGCCATGGTAGAGGCTGCCCACCCCAGGAACCGTACAGCTGAGGGAATAGCTAGTACGAGGGCCCAGCCTGGAGCTGTGCTGGATCAGATCAAGGACCAGCAAGGGAACCCTTGGGCTGCAGTATAGCCAGACTGGGGGTCATGGGGTCAGGAAGGCTCTGGATATTGTAGGGCCTCGTGGGACATGGTGAGCATTCTTTCTGTAGACAGTGGTGGGTAGGAAGTGTTCAGGGGAGGAGCAGGATACATGATGCAGTTTCAGTTTTCCATTTGAAGACAGATGACAGGCAGGGGAGTGGACAGGAGAGGAGGTGGGGAGCTATGGCAGTGATCGTGGTGACTTGCACTGGAATCTTGGCAGTGGGGCATCACGAGAGGGTAGCTGAAGGGGCTGTGACTGCAGAGCTATTGGGATTTGGAGACGCGTTGCCTGTGTTTGGAGGAAACAGTTTCCTCCCCAGGGGTGGTGAACATTGCCTGTTATTTGTCCAACTCTCAGCTCCTTCAAGTTAATTCTTTTGTCTCTCTTGCTTCCTTTGCTCCTCATGTAAGGCAGGAGTCAGGAGTCCAAGCCTCCTACTAGGATTAACACCTTATGGGGTGGCCAGCAGACACTGTGGCTCTTGGTTGGCATTCCTTTGCCATGCTCACCTACCTGTACACTCTATCTGCAGGGCATCATTAACTTGGGCACCAGTGAGAACAAACTCTGCTTTGACCTTCTGTCCAGGCGGGTGAGTACCGGGACTGCCATCTCCAGGGCCTTCTTAAATCCTTTGCTATAGTAACTTGCTGCATGCCTCACTGGTCCTGACTGAAGAACTGGGAGACAGGCATTGCAGGTTTGCCTTGGGAACAACTCCCCTCTCCTCCCCTTTCGCTTCTTTACCTCTCCTCCCCTCTCCTCTTCTCCCCAGCCTTACCCTGTCTGCCATCAGCACTATATCCATCTCTATTCCTTAATTTCTTTTTATCTTTACTGGGGATTGAACCCAGCGCTCACACAGTCTAGGCAAGCTGAACTATGCCTTCACCTTCTTAACTTTCTACTTTAAGGCAAGGTCTAAGTTGCTCAGGCTGATCTTGAACTTTTTCTGCCAGGCAGGCCTTGGATTTGGAATCCTCCTCTCTTAACCTCTAGTGTAACTGGGATTCCAGGCCTGTACCCTCAGGCCTGGCTTCTATGGCTGTTTCTAATCTAGCTTGTAAAATTCCTTAAAATTTCATCAGATTATGCGTATGGGTGCTCTGCTTTCTTGTATGTCTGTGCACCAGGTACATGCCTGTTGCCTGCTGAGGCCAGAAGAGAGAGTCTGCTACTCTGGAACTGTAGTTACAGAGTTGTGAGGCACCATGTAGGTGCTGGGTGTTGAACCCAGGTTCCAAGAAGCTGAGGCAGGAGAAGCGCTGTGAGCCTGAGGCCATCTTGGGTTCATAGTAAGTACCAAGAAAGCCAGGGTGACACAACAAGAGCGTGCCTCGGTTCTGCAAAAGTGAAAATAGCTAGAATTGGTTTTGGTAGGTAATATTTAATTTACCTAATATACCTGGTAATAAATATACAAGTATTGATATTTATTAATACTTGTTTTTATGAAGTCTTTACAGTTCAGACCAGTGACCTAGTAAGTGCTAAGTAGCCTCAGATACCAGTGGCTTCTTTGTTGTAAGGGGCGACAGGAGGGCGGGACACGGCGGGACCCAGGGTTAGAGAAATAGGTAATTCCAGTTTTTCTGGTCCCCTGCCCAAGGACATCATGCTATCGGCTCTCTTTGACCGTATAGCCATGGTGCTCCAGTATCACTAGCCCAGTGCCTGTCTATACAAGGAATGGTCTTAAATTTGCTGCCACACACAAAGGGTGAGATTGAGTGGAACCCTCAGGAGACGGTGTCCTAGTCCCCTCTCTAAAGCTGGAGCCAAGGCCAAGTTGACATCACCCTGCTCTGGAGCGTGCACTGACCTCTGGGGACACTGAGCAGTGTGCCCTCCCACCATTGCTTCTGTACCCACCCTCTGATTGTGCTGGACAGAGAGCTAGAGTCAGAAGCTCTGGATGTGGTTTGCTGGCTTTGCCTCCACTTTGCGAGCCCTGGGTTGCTTCTCTGTGAAATGGCCCGGGAGTGCTGTCCTGCACTCCTGTCGCCTTCCTCGAGGAGCAGAGGAAACCAGCTGCTGTGCAGATGCAGGTGACAATTCAGCCCTCTGCCTTGCTCTGTTCCCTTTGTGTCTCCAGCTGACACAGAATGACATGCTTCATGTGGAGCCCTCGCTGCTGCAGTACCCAGACTGGAGGGGACATCTGTTGTAAGTGTCTCCACAGGCTGGTGGGTCTCAACGGGGGTGATGTTGACCCCAGGGAGCACAGTAGTGCTCGGACACATCTGTGGTTGAAGGTCTACTGCCCAGGGATGTGCTGTTAAACTACAAAGCACAGGGAAGCCTCTCAACAAAGAACTGTTCCGTCCAAATATCGGTAGAGGCAGAGTGAGGGAGCTGGTTGTAGGCTAAGAACGTAGTGTGGAGACCCGGTGACCAGGGGCTGTCCTGCCAGCCCCAAATCCGTCCCCGGATTCCCAGAAAGTCTGAGGAGAGTGAGGAGACTGTCCCTGCTTTTCCAGTAGCTTTAGAGATGACAGATGGGTGTCTAAGGAGCTGGCTGGGACTCACTCTCAATTGTAAGATAGGCTGCTATATACTGATCATCTCCTGGAGGTCAGACAAGCCCAGCAGGACTTGATCCAAGATGTATTCTGAAGTTCATATTCTTAGAAAAGGGTCATCAGGATGGTGGACCCTGGGGCAGGGGCTGTGCCACTTACCAGCAAGTGATTTAATTCACTCAAACCTCAGTTTCTTTGTAAAATGGGAATGATAGTAACCATAGTCACCATGGAACATTCTCCAAATGACATATGTGTGATATTGTCGCTTAGTAAGAACCACAGTAACAGCCGGGTGGTGGTGGCACACACCTTTCATCCCAGTACTTTTTTTTTTTTTTTTTTTTTTTTTTTGGTTTTTCGAGACAGGGTTTCTCTGTGGTTTTGGAGCCTGTCCTGGAACTAGCTCTTGTAGACCAGGCTGGTCTCGAACTCACAGAGATCTGCCTGCCTCTGCCTCCCAAGTGCTGGGATTAAAGGCGTGCGCCACCACCGCCCGGCTCATCCCAGTACTTAAGAGGCAGAGGCAGAGGCAAGCGGATCTCTGAGTTTGAGGCCAGCCTGGTCTATAAGAGCTAGTTCCAGGACAGGCTCCAAAGCTACAGAGAAACCCTGTCTCAAAAAACCAACCAACCAACCAACCAACCAACCAACCAACCAAACAAACAAACAAAAAAGCACGGTAACATCAGTTCCTATTATGATAATGTTTATTATTATTGTTTTCATCAGCTAGATCTATGTAGTTTTCATCCACTGCATGGGAAGGTGGATATCCTAGAACCACACAGAATGAATGCTTTGCGGCTGGATGGGGGAGGGTGTGCTGGCGTGGAGACAAATGCCTACCACATCCACCTCTGGGAAGGGAGGACAGAGCAGTGGCAGCTAGCCACCTGCGGTTCCCAGACAGGCTCTGGAGTGGACAGGGCTGAGACCCTCTGACAAGTGTCGCACTTGTTGATCTGTCCTTCTAGCCTGCGGGAAGAAGTGGCCAAGTTCTTGTCTTTCTACTGTAAGAGCCCGGCGCCCCTCAAACCAGAGAACGTGAGTCACCCCTTCCTTACGGGTGCGGGGTGGGAGGGTGCTTTCACTTAGTCTTGCCTCCCAACCCCATTGTGCTGTGTCCCTTTTGACCCCCTCACCTTTGAGAGAGACCCCCAGAGTGGCCAGTTCTGTCTCTTGTTCACTTGATCAAGAGCAGGGTCCCCAGAAATAAGCTTGTCTGGGAACCCAGAAAGACCTTCATCAGAATGGATCCTCAGGGCCCTGGGGAGAGGCCTGGGTCTTCCCCTGGTCCTTGCTCTTCTCTGTCCTCAGACAGAGTCACCCTTGTCTCTTGTCACCCCTAGGTGGTTGTTCTGAATGGCTGCGCCTCGCTCTTTTCCGCTCTGGCCACAGTGCTCTGTGAGACAGGAGGTAAGTGAACTCCGTGCCCCCTCCCTCAGCTTTGTGCCAAGGCTGGGCTGTGACCCCAGTTGCCTGGCATCAGAGCCTTCAGCAATAGGAGAATATAACTTTACAGGGCCTTAAGTGCGTGGCTTAACCAGACATCTGGGGCAGCAGTTCTGATGAGATCCATATGGGGTCAGGGTCCTGCTTTCTCTCTCTCCGAGTCCCTCCGCTTTCCCTCCATGTCAGGTCATGGTGACATCTTCTCTGGCACTGTCTTATAGCTAGGAAAAACGACAGTAGCAACAAGCCGGTCTCTCTCCTGTTGGGCAGGGCATCGAGGGTGCTCCTTCTCAAAAGGATCCCAGTGCGACTCTTACCAAATAGAAATTACATGTAAACCTAAAGGAGTCCCTGGCAAATGGCCTAAGGGAGCCAGTGTCGGCTTAGTTCAGACTGGTTCATGCCATGGCTGGGGAAGGACTGATTTGGATATACTGTGGGTCATATTTCAAACAAACAAAACCAAACAAGCGAATACATCAAACTAAACAAAAGCCATTTTTTTTCTCTTTGCAAGGAACGAAATTGGATGGCTATTGAATAGACAGCCAGCTGCTCTAAGAGGCACTGTGTAAGAGCTGGTTGTAGCTAAGTGTCAGTTGTTGTAAGGTTAGAGTCCTGCTCATAAGAGCCTAACTAATAAGTTAACACTGGTCACATGTGGTCACCAGATACTGCATTCCAGGCTAGATCATGTGGCTTTATTCCTCTATGACATGGATTCTTTGACTAAACCCATTTTACCTGTGAGAAGACTGAGGCCAGACATTAAGTAAAAGTCAGAGTCACACAAACAGAAGCAGTCACCAGGACTTGTACCCTAAAGGGAGATTTGCTGTGAGACTATGATAGACAAGTTCTTATTCAGTCTAGAACAGTCAGATGCAGGGACCCTATAGGCTCCAGTACCCTGATCTGTAAAGGTTGGCTTACTTCAGAGCATAGTGGTGAGCCTGTTTAGCACAGGCTCAGAGGTCAGAAAGTGTTAGCAGAGGTCCCAACTCACGGTGGATGGACAGGGACTTTCAGCTCACAATGGTGTAAAAAAACTATACAAATTCAATAGGAACTCGATTTCAGTTTCTCTCTCTCTGTCTCTTTTTGTTTACATAAATCTTTCTTATTTATATTAATTTTATTTTATTATTTTGTGTGCATGGGTATTATTTCTGCCTGGATGTATCTTTGTGGGTGCCTGGTACCCGTGGAGCCAGATCCCCTGGAACTGGAGTTGCAGCCATCATGTGGGTGCTGGGAATCAAACCCAGCTCCTCTGTACCTTCAACCTCTGAGCTATCTCTTCACTCATCCCCAACCCCTCTGTTTTAAAGACAGGGTCTCATACAGCCCAGGGTAGTCTTGACAGAACTCACTGTCTAACTGAGGATGACCTTGAACCTCTCATCTTCATGCCCCCTTCCTTCCTGAGTGCTGGACTATGGATGTGGTGCCTGGCTTATGAGGTGCTGAGGATGAAACCCAGGGCTTCATGTATACAAGCCCTCCACCCTCTGAGCTACATTCATAGACTTAGGAGTTTGGATTGTGACAGGTTTTCTGGCTAGTGCTGTGTGATGCGATGTTTTCTTGCAATACTGGGCAGTGGTAGTGAGCTCCCCCATTCCACCTGCAGGTGACCATGAGATCTTGACTCAATGCCGATTCTCTGCCCTGTTTCAGGTCCTAAGCTAGGATGTTCAGGAGGATAGGTAGATCAAATGCATTTTTTATGATAACTTATAGTGGATTTATTTGCATGTGATCCCATTTTAAGTGAGCATCTATATTAGAAAGTCTGACCTTAGGGGATACAAGCTTTAAGGTTTAGGGAGTTGAGAGGAGTCAGAATATGTTCCAGATATTTCCCAAGGATGATGGAGGCTTGGGAGGGCTATGGATTTCATGATAGGTGTCTGGGGTATCTAAGTCAGAGGCCAATGAACTGCCACTCCTTCTCCTAGAGGCTCTCTTGATCCCCACCCCTTACTATGGAGCCATTACCCAGCATGTCTATCTCTATGGCAACGTCCGACTGGCTTATGTCTACCTGGAGAGTGAGGTAAGATTGCCTGTATTCTAGTTCTTGCATCTGGATCTTCCTGTAGGCCAGGGTTTGCTGGGTCTGAATTTGTGGGGGACCTGAAGGAATCCTGTGCTTTGGGGCTGCTGTGAAATGGAAGTGGAGCCTCTGCCTGGATTCTCTGGAAGCTCCAGGCTCTAAGATTGCTGGATCTACAGAGAAGCCTAAAACTAGCCCTAGAAATGAGCGGGTGGGAAGGGGGAAGCTTATGCCTTGGAAGTCCTGAGAGCCAATCAGAGCATCCTTGCTGCCTCTGCCAGAAATCTGAGTGATGAGAGATGTCCCTGTTGTAAAGGGTGGGGCAGAAGGCCAGAAGGAGAAATTTTGCAGAGACCTGACCCAGAAGACTGGAGATGATAGGGGAGGAGAGAACCAAGAGTTCAAGTTGGGGGTGGGAGTGGGGCACTGAATTTGGCTGCTGTCTTTGGTGGGTCTTTTCCTAGGTATCTGGATTGAACACACGTCCCTTCCAGCTCACAGTGGAGAAGCTGGAGATGGCTCTGCAAGGAGTTAATTCTGAGGTCTGGGGAATCAGTCAAATCCAGGGCTGTGAGTGGGTGGCCCCAACAGGGACTGGACCCTTCATCTCTCGGGAGTTGGGTTTGTAACTCTGATAGGGACATATGAGAAGGAGTTGGAGAACCGTCCTTGGGCAGGGGTCAGGCAGAATCCTGTGTCTTTGGAGGGTCTTCCCATTAGAAAATGACCCTGAAAGCACAGTATACAGAGGACCAGGGGACTTCATTAACAATTTTCCCTCACAAGAAAGGGTAATAGGAGGTGGTGGGTTTGGATCAAATTGCCTATCTGCATGGAAATGCCAAGAGTGAAGCCCTCTGTTGTTTTCAATGAATGTGTGTGTCTTAGTCACTGTTCTGTTGCTGTGAAGAGACACCACGACCAAGGGAACTCGTAAAAGAAAGCATTTCATTGGGGGCTTGCTTACAGTTTCAGAGAGTTAGTCCATGATCATCATGGCAGGAAGCAGACAAGCAGGGCACTGTAGCAGTAGCTTTACATCCTGATCTATAGGCAGCAGGCAGAGTGAGACTGGGCTTTTGAAGTCTCAAAGCCCACCTAAGTGATACACCTCCTCCAGCAAGCCCACACCTCCCTCATTCTTTCCAGACAGTTCCACTAAAGACCAAGCATTCAAACGTAGGAGCCAATGGGGCATTCTAAGTCAAACCACCACAGTTTGCTAATTAAAAGGACACTCTCCCATCCCAGCTCCTTTGTTTCTGCTTCTCATGGAAGTCTGTAGTTTAGTGAGTTTCTCTGGCAATTTGAGGGGTGATCCTGCTCCTTTTGAGGACTCCCTAGTAAAGGCAGAGACTCAGGTTCTTGTGCTTCCCAGCCATTTTCAGCATCTGTGCACTTCATTGAGGTCACTGAGGTCACTGGGGTGGTTACCTTTGTCATTCAAGCTCCCAAGTGCTCACAACAGGAACTGTGGAAGTCCCCAACTCCCGCGTAGAATTCTTCCCATTCAAACAGCCTCTCTGCCAGCAGCTGGGCACACTTCCCCATTTCCTGCCTGTGTTCTTTCCACAGCGGGCACGACACAGCAGACAGAACTCTAGTCCCATTCATTTGCTTCTTGTTGGGTCATGAGTGTGCCCCTGCCATGCTTCCCTGGGATTCAGGCAGCTTTCAGCCTCATCTAGTGGGACTGTAAGGTTCTAGGGTTGGGGGGACACAGTAACATCCCCATGGATGGTTTTAGGGTGTCAAGGTCAAAGGCCTCATCCTCATCAACCCCCAGAACCCTCTGGGTGACATCTACTCCCCTGAAGAGCTACAGGAGTTCCTGGGATTTGCCATGAGGTGAGCTATACCTCCCCCATGAAGTGAGCAGACATGGCTTGGATGTGAGCCTTGGGGCAGGTCCTTATGCCGTCTTAGCTCACTGGCCTACTACCAGCTTTGGTGTCTTTCTGTCTTCTCAAAACACCAGCTGCAACACTCTAGGGCCAGGCCCCATGCTGAACATTTATAATTTTTTGTATGTTAGCCTGTGTTCATGTGTATAGTTGAATGTGGAGGACGGAGGTCATTCCTTAGACGCCTTCTAATCGATTCTGAGAAAGTGTTTCACTGGTCTGGTATACTAGGCTGTCTGAAATCCTCTTGTCCTTACTTCTCCAGCACTGGTATTGCAAGTGCATGTCACCAGGCCCATGTGTTTAGCAGGTTATGGGTATCAAACTTGGGTCTTGTTTGCAAGGTGGCTCTTTACTGAGCAGGCCGTGTTCCCAGCTGAGCATCATTTGTGCTGTCTCTATGGTCGTCATCAGAGCAGCCCCATAGAAATGGGTTCTGTCATCATCCCTGCTTGACAGAGCTTCAGAGTGGTCTAACCATGAGTGAAAACGGCATGAATCTGAGTCCATTTGTCTCCAGCCTGCCATGGAGGACCCCAAGGGTGCCTCCCCTCCCCTCTTGCAGTGCTTCAAAAGTGCTAGAGTCCTTTGTTTTATGGATGTAGCTTCTATTTGTGAAATTATAGACCAAATCAGGGTGTTCCTGGGATCAAATTGGGGTGTTTCTGGGATAAGCTGGTTTGAAACCCTGGGGTAGTCTGGTCCTCTGACATTCTCGATGCTGAGTGACATATTTTGGCTCCCTCTTTCCCACCATCTACCCACTGCAGGCACCAGCTTCACGTGATCATGGATGAGGTTTACATGTTGTCCGTGTTTGAAGAGTCTCTTGGGTACCGGAGTGTCCTGAGCCTGGAAAGGTGAGGAGCTCACTGCAGCTGATTCTCCAGCACCTGGACTGGCTCACAGTTTCCCAGCCTCTTTCTGGGTCAGCCTACAGGACATGGCCTGCCCCAGGGCAGTTCCATTAATGTCTATTTGATCTTGCTGGTCCTCAGACCAGGAAGATTAGGTAGATCAGGGGTCTTCAGATTATTCTATGACATTCCCAAGAGCTTCAAGGAGGGCCTTGGCAATATTTGAAGAAGTACTGGGTCTATGAGAACTGGACTCCTGCTGTTTCCTTCCTCTTCAGAGCGGTTCTAGTTCCTTCTGTCTCTCCATCATTCCTTCTGTCTGTCCATCCATCCCCCCATACATTCATCTATCCCCTGACACACTTCATCCTTCCACGCACCTACTCATCGATTTGTCTATCAGATTTCTACCTAGGAAAAGGTCTCAGCAGCTAAAGACACAGCTAGCAATTTCCATGACAGTGGCAAGAAGCGCTAAGGTGGAGGTGGCTGAGAAGCTGAGAGGCCTGGTTTCCTGGGGTTGATCAGACAAGCCTTTTGAGGAAGTGGTGCTGGACCTGCTTTCCAGCTCAGAGGTCAGGCTCATGGCTTCTCACTCAGCTCCCACAGACATGTGGAGCAGTGAGCTTGGCTGTGTTCTAATGATAGTTACAGGAATAGGCAGCAGGCTGGCCACCATGCTAACGGAAGCATGGGTGTTGGTGATTCAAAGACAAGACACCCAGTTTCATCTCTCCATGTATCTATTCATTGGCATGCCTGTGATCTCCTGGCTCTGGGTTGCTTATGTCTCCTTGTTCTGCTCTCTGTAGGCTGCCTGACCCCCAGAGGACACACGTGATGTGGGCCACCAGCAAGGTGAGTCTCTGGCTAGCCTGGGTGAGAGGGGGTGGAATCAGTTTCTCCTGTGGAAGCTGGCCATGGCTATCCTGCATCTTCTTGTAGGACTTCGGGATGTCTGGACTCCGCTTTGGCATCCTGTACACAGAAAATGAGCATGTGGCTACTGCTGTGGCCTCCCTCTGTCGCTATCGTGGCCTCAGTGGCCTGGTCCAACACCAGATGGCACAGCTGCTCCGGGACCATGGTGATTTGTCTGGATCTTACAGGAGGAGTGGGGTTGTAATGTGTGTGGGACTTGGGGCTCACGGGTGCCTCCCCTGTGGAGGAGCTGAGGTGATGTCACTTGCTTGCTGTCTGGGTAGCACATCTCCACATCCTCATCTGGAGAATAGGGCTGATAGTGGTGCTAGTCTTGTTGGCCGAGTGTGGCCTGGAATTTGTTTAGAACAATACGTGACATAAAACAGGCTCTTGATGAATGTGAACTCACTGATTAGGCACAGTGCTATGTATCTGTTCTTCTGGTTACTTGGGGGGCTGAAGGAGGAGGATCCTTCCAGTTCAGGAGTTCCAGGCTAGCCTGGGCAACAGCAAGATTCCACCTTCAAAAACGAACTTTCGTTGCCGTTGAACACAGATCAGAAGTTCCTGATGTCAGTATGATGGCGAGCTCTCTGCCTCCGAGATTTGGATCGTTCCCGCCTTCAGCAATGAGTTCAGAGAGCAACGCTGTCCTGTAATTGTTGCTCTTCACTGAGTCTTTCAGATGTTCTTTTGGTCCATCTCATTTCCCTCCCTGGGGCCTTAGGGAGAATTCCTACAGTTCCCTTTGTCTTGCAGGTGTGGAAAAGGAGGATCGGGTACTAATTACCAATCTAATAGCCTAAAAAGTTTTAGAAACAGCAGCGATACCTACTGAATGTTGATAAAGGCAGTGGAAGAGCCAGGACATTTGCTCTTACATTGATGGTGGGGACAGGAGGTGGCTCAGCCACAGTGAAAAACAATTCAGCAATTTCCTCTAAACATACCTATCAAATAACCCAGTGGCGACAGGCCCAAGGAGGAACCGTGATGGTCACACAAAAACCTGCATACATGCTGTTAGCTGTTTTTTTTTTTTTTCATAATCACCCACATCTGCAAACTGCTCCACAGGGGAGTTTATACACAGATGTGTCCCGTCCACACCGTGGAATACTTACACCAATAAAGTCCATGGCAATGTGGATTTCTCCCAAAGACACTGTGCTATTGAGAGAAGCTTAGGGTCGAGACTTTACATACCCTATGAAGCTGGTTTTGGTGACATTTAGTAATGAACAAGACTGTCATGTGTGTGACATATCAGTCATTGGGATAGTCTTTGGGGTTATTTAAATCCTGATTGTGGTAGTACTTTCAAAAGTGTATGAATGTGTTATAATCCATAGAGTGTGTACCCTTCAAAAGAGGTTAATAAATCTATGACGACCAGAGAGGTGAAGTTGCTGAAGGCTTCCTTTCCCCAAGATGCCCCACTGGGATAGGGATTTGATCTGTGTGGATCTAAGTATCACTTTGTACCTGCAGATACCTTTGGCTTGGTTCACATCCTGGGGGACTTTGTACCCTGGGCTCCTGAATGTGGTCTGGGAGCTGGCACTCAGGGCTGTATACCTGGATCAAAGGCACTTTGTGCTGATCACTGAACTCCCAGCCCCTCTGAACCCATGACTCAGGAAGCCAGAAAGAAGAAGGACTCCTGTGGTGTTGGCTGCCATGCCCTTTTGTTTTTCAGTGTTTAGATTAATGCAACGATCCATGGGAGTTTTAGATTCCTGCTTCCCTTCCCTTTAGACTGGATCAGCCAGGTGTACTTGCCAGAAAACCACGCCCGACTCAAGGCTGCCCATACCTATGTCTCAGAGGAGCTAAGAGCCCTGGGGATACCCTTCGTGAGTCGTGGGGCAGGCTTCTTCATCTGGGTTGACTTAAGAAAGGTAAATAGGGTGGAGCTGTGGATGGAGGGGATGTCTGGCAGGGGAAGGCCCATAGGGTCTCCTGCATCCTGAGCTACTTCTGTCCTCCCAGTACCTGCACAGAGGCACCTTTGAGGAGGAGGGGCTGCTCTGGCGCCAGTTTTTGGACAACAAGGTGCTGCTGTCCTGCGGGAAGACCTTTGAGTGCAAAGAACCCGGCTGGTTCCGGGTGGTCTTCTCAGACAAGGAGAACCGGCTCCGCCTGGGTGAGCAGTCTCTTCCCCCAGCCTCCCAACAGCATCCTTCCAGCCACCCCTGCTTCTGACCCGATCAACCCCGTACTGACCACTCCTCGCTTCTTCTCAGGGATGCAAAGGGTGCGGCAGGTGCTTGCAAGGCAACCTCAAGTGGTAGATGAAGCCTCTCCCTGTCACACTCAGGAGCCAAGTACCCAGCCCATGTGAGCAGGCCATTGCCTCACGAGCACCCACTGTCCCTTATGACCTGGACAAGAAAGGCCACGGGAGATTAAATGTGGATTGCCGTTTGTCGACAGGACTTGTCACTTGGCTTTGGCCTTGAAGAGCCGTTTCCTGCCCTCCCTGCTGGCAGTGTGAAGCTGTTTAAACTGATGCTATTCTGGGCTGTTGCTGTCCTCTGTTCAGTGGGACTGGGACCAGCCAGATGCCTGTGCTGTCATTAGTGTACAGGATAGGGAGTCCTGACTGTTCCTAACCACAGCTTCTCTCTAGGAGAAGAGTAAACAAGCAGCTGTTCATTCTTCGTGATGGTGCCTTCATGCCTTTCTTGTTGCCAGGGAAACAAGCCAGAGGAACTGTACACACACACACACACACACACACACACACACACACACACAAGTGATAGCATTCCAAGGTGTATGGGGTGAATTTCATTTGTTCGGGGTTGAGTGCCCAGAACAGACCTCAGCTTGGGATGCAGAGAGCAGAATTCTGTGGTGGGAAAGCAGTGGCTCCTCAGTAAAGCTAAAATGCCCCATCAAGTTCTGAAACACACCTCCACTTACCTAGGAAGAAGGTACCTTCACTGGCTCCCACAGCAGTAGCCTGGCAATGGCTGGAGAGGAGGCCCAGTGGTTAAGAGCACTTGCTGTTCTTCAGAGGACAGGAGTTCAGTTCCCAGAACTCACAGCGGGCAGCTTATGGCACATGTGTGCCTGTGCATGCACACACACGCACATACACACAAATAAACCATAAAAAGGAATCACAAGTGTACCATTCATTTGTCCATTGCTTTCTGCCATTTTCTTGGTTGGTCTGTACATTCCCATTTTTCTATTTTGTGGTTTTCCCTATCATTGGCTTATTTTTCTCCCTTTTCTTAGATTTTTCTGGGTTTCCTCCTGTCTTATGGTTTTTATTGTTGTGAAGAAACCATGAGCTTGGCAACTTTTATAAAGTGAAACATTTAAGTAGGGAGGCTCGCTTACAGTTTCATAAGTTCAGTCCATTATCATGGTGTGCTGTGGGACAATGGCCTTTTATCCTGTCACTTGTATTATTTTAATAAAGCGCTGATTGATCAGTAGGCAGGCAAGAAGTATAGGCGGGGTGACCAGGCAGGAAGTAGTAGAGGTAAGGCAATGAGAACAGGAGAATTCTGGGAAGAGGAAAGAGTAGTCTGCAGTCATCACCCAGCCACAGAGGAAGCAAGATGAAAACACCTCCCTGCTAAAGGTACCAAGCCACGTGGCTAACACAGACAAGAATGATGGGCTAATTTAAGATGTAAGAATTAGTTAATAAGAAGCATGAGCTAATAGGCCAGCCAGTGTTATAATTACTGTAAGCCTCTGTGTGTTTCTTTGGGACTGAATGGCTGTGGGATCGGGCAGGACAGAAACCTCTGTCAACAATAGTGGGGAGCATTGTGCAGGCAGACATGGTGCTGGAGCTAAGAGTGCTACATCTTGCAGGTAACAGGAAGCAAAGGAGACCTCAACACCTGCCTCCACAGTGACACACTTCCTCCAAGAAGGCCATAACTCCTCATAGTGCCACTCCCCCCTTTGGGGGCCATTTTCTTTCAAACCATCACATTCCCTTTCCTGGCCCCTAAAGGCTTATTGCCATATCATAATGCAAAAAAAAAAATACATCCAGTCCAACTTCAAAAGTTGCTATAGTCAATAGTAGTCTCAAACTTGTTTCAAAGTCTCTTCTGAGATGCATGACAATCTCTTAACTTTGATCCCCTTGTAAAAATCAAAATCCAAAAGCATACCATAGTGAGGAAATACTGGACTAAAACGAGAATGAAAACCAACTGGGAAACTCCAAATTCTGCATCTTCATGTCTGCTGTCAAATGCTCTTCAGATCGCCAACTCTGATCAGCTTTGTTGACTGCCACACACACTTCTCTCTCTTGGATTGGTTCCACTCCCTGTTAGCCGGTGCCTTTGGCAGGCATTCTTTGATTCTGGTATTGCTAACATCTTAGGTTCTCCAAGGCAATCCAGGCTTCAACTTCACAGCTTCGTGCAATGGCCTCTCTGCTAGGCCTCCATTCAGGGACACCCCAACACATGCCTGGACTGACCAGCTTTATTCTATAACTCCTATCCTTAACTCTAAAGCCAAAACAATGTGGCCAACGCTGCTGAGTTCTGCTTGCTGGGGCTGGAACATGCCCCCCTCATTCAATAACATCTTCACCAGCTTTCTGTCCTTTACTACCTAAGCGTGGCTGTCCTGAAACTTGCTCGGTAAATCATGCTGCCCTCAAACTCAGAGAACCACCAGCCTCTATCTTCCCAGGGCTGGGATTAGAGGTGTGCCCCACCACACTCTGGCTCTAAGCTTTTTTAGTTCTTTTTCATAAATTGGAAACTTTAGCTGGATGGAATCTTGCCATGTGGTCACCACTCCCTGTACTCTACTTGTTAATCTGTTTATCTCTTTGAGCATAGCATTTAGCTCCGTTCCATTTCCTAGTGCTCTCAAAATTCTCAAAATTTTCATTTTGTCATTTACCCTGATGAATTTGCTCCTTTTAATTATAAATCATCATTAGAATTATCACTGAAAAACAGAGTCTATACTAGGTTGTTTTGAGATATCTTCTGCCAATGGAATTAATCCAAAACCCTTTGCTTTAGCCGCAGGCAGACTCTTTGGACAAGGGCAAAGGGCAGCCACTCTTTTCACCAAAATATCACAAAGGCAATCTCTAGGCAACATACTAAAATTCTTCTCCTCTGAAACGTCTTGAGTGAGCACCCCACAGTTCATTAAATCATACTCCATACCACTGCCTTCCATGCTTTTACTAGTACGGCCCATTAAGCAGCACTTACAGCACCCCACTGCTTTTCTAACCCAAACTCCCAAAGGCCATTTTACTCCAAACAATATCATGGTCAGACTTATCACAGCAATATCCCAGTCCTTGGTACCAACTTCTATCTTAGTGAGGATTTTTATTGCTGAAAAGAGAAATCATGGTCATGGCAACTCTTATAAAGTAACACATTTAATTGGGATGTCTCACTTACCATTTCAGAGGTTCAGTCCATTATCATCATGGGGGCGAGGAGCATGGCATGCAGATACTTTAGAAAGAAAGTTTGAAGAAATAAAAAAAAAAGTTTTACCTAAATGGGGATTACAAATTGCTCCTGAAAAAATACAAAGAGGAGATTCTGTCAATTCCCTAGGCTACAAAATAGGTTTATAGAAAATTAGAACACAAAAGGCACAAATTAGGAGAGACCAATTATGAACTCTTATGACTTTCAAAGATTGTTAGGAGATATTTTCAGTCTAGGACTGGCTGTTGGGATAGCACCTGACCTAATAATTTATTTAAATAAAACCTTAGATGGTGACAAAGACTTGAATAGTTCCAGAGAATTAACAGAGGAAGTGGAAAAAGAATTGATGGTTGTTAAAGAGAAATCAGAGGAGGCACATGTAGATAGACTGAATCCAAATCTTAATTGTATTCTAGTCATATTGCCTTCCAGAAATTCCCCTACATGAATTTTAATGCAGAGGGAAGATCTTACCTTAGAATGGATCTTTTTTTTTTTTTACCACATAAACCAAGTAAAAAATTAAAAACTTATGTGGAAAAAGTCTCTGAATTAATTATAAAAGGAATGTTGAGATGTCATCAACTAGCAGATATAGACCCAGCAGGGATTATATATTTCCTTTTACTGCTGATGAAATAAAAAAAATTATGGGAAGATAATGAACCTTGGCAAAGAGCTTGTGCTAATTTTTTAGGGAGAAATTAATAAGAATTATCCCAAAAGTGATAGAATTAACCTTATAAAGAGAACTACTTGCATTCTTCCCCGAATTGTATGTGATGCACCAATAACTGGAGCCCGTACATTTTATACTGATGCAAAAAAATCAGGAAAGGCAGGTTACAAATTAGAAGATATAAGTAAGGTGGAACAAAACCCTTATAATTCTGTCCAAAAGGCAGAATTATATGCTATTCTCATGGTGCTAAGGGATTTTAAAGAACCTCTTAATATAGTTACTGATTCACAATATGCAGAAAGAGTTGTATTGCATAGTGAAACAGCTGAATTTATACCAGTTGATACAGAATTGACTTCATTATTCATACAGGTTCAAAATATAATGAGGCTTTGTCCCATATACATAACACACATCTGATCCCATACAGGTCTGCCAGGTCCTCTAATACAAGGTAATGCAGAAATTGATCAATTATTGATTGGAAGTGTGCTGAAGGCCTCAGAATTTCCTAAGAAACATCATGTCAATTGCAAAGGTTTAAAGAAGGAGTTTTTTATTACATGGCAATAAGCTAAGGAGATTATAAGGAAATGTCCTATTTGTTCTTTATATAACCAAACACCATTACCTGCAGGTAGTAACACAAATGGTACTGAAAGTAATGAAATCTGGCAGATGAATGTGTTACACTTTACATAATTTGGAAAATTAAAATATGTACACCATACTATTGACACTTATTCAGGTTTTCAATGGGCAACTGCCTTGAGCTCAGAAAAGGCTGATTCAGTAATCACACATTTATTAGAAGTTATGACCATCATGGGTATCCCTGCACAAATAAAGACAGACAATGGTTCAGCATATGTGTCTAAGACAATGAAAGATTTTTTTGCTTATTATAATATAAAGCGTTATTACAGGTATACCAAACAATCCTACATGTCAGGCAGTTATAGAAAGATCAAATCAAACTATAAAGTATATGCTAAACAAACAGAAAAGGATGGAAAATACCCCCAGAAATAGATTGCATAATGCTTTATTAACCTTGAATTTTCTTAATGCCAATGAGACAGGAGCAGTAGTGGAGAGTCATTGGATAATAGAAAAAACTTCTGAATTAAATCAGTCAGTATATTTCAAGAATGTGCTGACCTCACAATGGAAATCAGGAGATTGCTACATTGGGGAAGGAGTTTCACTCTTGTTTTCACAGAAGAAGAAAAGTTATGGATACCATCAAAATTGATTAAGATTCTGTTTGAAAAAGAGAAACCTCTTAAGAAAGAGAAATGATGGCTCATCCACAGAGGTGGTAAGAAAACCTCATAAGGGTTGGGGCAGGGTTCTGTTCTTGTCTTAGCAGGAAAATATTCATCTTCAAAGAGTGGAGAGACCTTGGACATCTATATGCCTAAAAATAAAAAGATGGCTATTTAGAAAGAATCAACAAGCAAAGAGAAATTTGCCTTATGATGCTGTATTATCTGTATGGTAAAATTTGATTATTTGGACACGTATACATCTCTACTTAAAAATAAGAGCTGGCTTTGGAGTTGGACAATGGCTATCCTTCTCTAAATCCAAGCATGCTGTTAAAATAAAAATTCAGAATTTCTGTCTCATGGCAGGAGCCATCTGGTATGGGACAGAAAGAAGATAGATTTTAAGGAAATATTTTTCTTTTCTCTATGCCCATTTAGTTTATATCATATCTTTCGTTGAATATATGTCTATATGAATAATGCTTAAGTTCTCCACAATGAACAGTAGATTTTCCTGCAGTAATCTTTGAAGCTTCCAGGAAGAAGATGGGGCCCACAACAAGACTCCACCTGGTTGATATGATGTCATGATGCTGATAGCACTACTATGAGACCAGTTTTGGGGTACCAGCTGTGGAAATGGTGCACCTTTTCACAACATTCTGGCCAGAACCCCAAATAAGAACTTCAAAACAAACAAGCAAACAAAAATACCCTATCAACTATACAGAGACCATTTGCAATTATACAAAACATTAATCTTGAAACTTCACCATCATTTTACTTTTACC